CCTGCACAAAACACAGTCAGGTAACACAGGCCTATACAGTATTCTCATTAGTTACTACACAACACACGATCTACTGAGAGAAGGAAACTCTGAGCAGACAGAAGAGGAGAAAAACATAAGACAGACAGACAGACGTTCAGTGGACTGATAAAGAGCAGACAGATCTAGTGATGCAGATCAAAATCACATGCATTTAAACATGAAATAAACACTCTCTCTACAATTACAGCCTCAAACCGAGAATCAGATGGACTTACTGGCATTTCTTCAGACGAAGCTGAACTGGACAGTAGATGTTCGTCACATTTAGGCAAAAACAGACTAAAAACAGCAGCTCTGACACATTTTTCTGCCAGATTGCAGAATGCGTAATGTGAGCGCTGGGCATCTCCTCGACGAGATTATGTAAAGAGCTTATTATTCACACTGTCTGTATATATATATATATATATCACGAGGCAAATAGATGTTGGTAAATAAACATACTCATTGTGCAACCAGCAGATTAGGATTAACAAAATCCCAAAATGAGAAGTTTAACAGCTTGAGGACATGAGTGAGATCAGATGAGGGAACGATTAAAGATCTGTAACACAGATTCAACATGAAGCAAACATATGTTGTGTTTATGTTTTAGTAAGTGGCAGGAATGGATGCCCCAGCACCTGTTGAGAAGAGAGGACCCCCAAGGTTCAAGCAGAGGACCGCTCGCACTTTCAAGAGCAAGGCTCCCAAACCCGGACAGAAAGGCTTCGGAGACGACATCCCTGGAATGGAGGGTCTTGGCACAGGTACACGACAGGCCACCAGAGTTTCTGGTCAGTTCAGTGTATTTATTTAATGAACCTGACAAGTTTCTTTCTCTGGTTTCTAACAGACATCACTGTGATCTGCCCCTGGGAAGCGTTCGGCGACATGGAGTTTAGCGATCTGGACAAATTTGGGATTGTGTAGCACCTCATGCATCCTCCTGAGATCATCGATCAGCCAGCGGAATCATCCGTTCACACCAGACTGAACCAGCAGCAGATGCTCTCAGCCCAACACACACAGAAGATGGGACGTGATTAATTAATAATTGAGGGAATAAGGACTCTCTCAGCCGCAGACCTGGAGGAATCGACCTCAGAGCCACAACATCACTCAGTCTCTAATGTCGTAGCAAAATACAGAACTGTGTACAAATCAACTTTATTTTTTTGAACTGTAAATATGATCTTCGTTTGTGTCTGAATCCATTCATCATGGTTGATAAAAAAAAACACTGATTTGGCAGTAGAACACAAAAATAAAAATGTATTTTCCCATGAATATGTGATGAGGATTTTCTCTTTTAAAACGCTTAAATTGAGTCTATTATAAAATGACTTCATCCGAAGTTTTCACTTCATACACTCTCAGGAACGTCCGTAAATAATCCTCCAACCATGAAAAGGGTTTTCATAAATATCCACTAATTCGCACTAACAAAATAGTCTAGGAATATCAAGGTAAAAATTCCAATAAGAACATTTTTAAATGGTTTAACTACTACGTTACCAGAACATTAACCATGGTTTTATTGTAGAAAAAGTAGCCACACTATGTTTTTTTGGCGCAATGATTACCATTTGTACAACCACAGTTTTAGCTACTACAAAAACCATGGTTAAACTATAGTTAGTGTAGCAAAACCGTGGTTACCATGGTTTAACTCGGGTTTTATTTGTAGTAAAACCATGGGTAATTTGAGTGCTGGGTTATTTTCAGAATGGTTGTTGTTAAATAATATAACGTTATCTGCCGGAGCTCATATGAAAGTTTTCTAAAATTGTAGCCTACAGTTTTATTTTTCTCACTACGTCACGAACTCCGTGCACGTCGTTAAAGAGATAGTTCACCCAAAAATGAAATTCTGTCATTAATTACTCGCCCTCATGTCGTTCCAAACCTGTAAGACCTCCGTTCATGTTCGGAACACAAATTAGGATATTTTTGATGGGATCCGAGAGCTCTTTGACAGCAAGGACAGAATTTAATTTTTTTTGGGTGAACTATGCCTTTAATGTAAAGAGCAACCTCCGGAATTGGCGCATGCGCGGAAACCGCTCGTCAGAACACCCGCGTGAATTTTTGAGGTGAGAAACTTTTACTTCACATTTATTTTAAATGAAAATTCAATAAAACAACACGAGCGTAATGATGTGGGGATTAGGATGTTAAATAAGATACTGAAGGTAACAAACCATTAGCTTAGTTTGCATAAAAGTAGAAACATTAAGATTTAACCATGAGCATTATGCGATTATTTACAATTTCACATTAAAGATCTTACTGAGGTCACTTCCATTCATATAACATCCCTTTACATCGAGATGAGCATCTCAGAAAGACCACAAATTAGGTAGAAGAAATCTTTCACAATATTCACCTAAAACTATTTGATAACTTCTCCTTTACGTCCATCTACAATATTAATGCACAATCCACTGAAATCAAAGACCCTTCCAGTGAGTGTTTTAAAAAAACATTTTATATGGACATTCAGATACAAATTACATCACAAATGGAATCAGAATATGTAGAGAGAAAGAGTTCAACTCAAAAACACGGTTACGCTGTAAACCAAAGGAGAGTATGTGGAACAGGTATAATATTCATAAGGTGCGAGAATGGAGAATAAAAGAGACGCCATCTTTAATCCTTTACTGCACGAATGGAGGGATTTCAGCCTTCTCACTCCATCATCAGAAGACGAGCGTCATGCGAGAAACCCGTCTCAGAGCAAAGAACTCTGCAGGAGAAACCAGCGAAGGACAGAAGGAGAGAAACCAGCAGATCTGCCGCATCTTTAAAAGCCAGAAGTTCAGAATTTAGGAGCCGAGATCATTTTAATCTCTTATAATACTGTGGAAAGTGTATGCATAGACTGCAAGTACCATTTAAACAAGAAACTAATAAAATAAAGCTGTCTGGGTTAGTGTTCAGACTGTGGTCAGTTTTTCTTTAGGCCAGTATCTTAGTGTCAATGAAACACGGCCCTCATCCTCTCAAACAAGCCGAGGCGAAATTTCTTCCCAAACTCTAAAATGGCTAAATGTTTTCAGTCCTGGACCAGGATACAGTTACACCTAGAATCTACTGAAACGCATGATGTCCTGCAAAAACAAAACAAAACAAATGATGAAATGCAGGTGTGTTTTCACAGATAAGGAAAGCGGTCTTGGATTGCAGTAGGAGGACGCTACAATCCACGTCCAGCTATCTTGAAATAATTAACGAGCCACTTCAAACAATATCAAAAACCTATTCATACGAAACAAAAAATTAAACCAAACAATAGAATTACAAATACGTTTACACACAAATCAAGAATGTGCTTGACTTTTCTTTGGAACCAAAATTAAAAAAAAGCAAAATACCAATATACTGAAGGGAAAGAGGACACGCACAATACTATGCGTTTCTCATTTTCTCATTTAACAACTTTTTTTGATCCACTTTTCTGAGATTTGGGCTGAAAGTTGCATATTTTACAAAACACAAAACTTAAAAGAGCTTGTCGATATTCCACAAGAAGGGCTCTTCGATCCCAAAATCTGAAGGAAAAAAAGTATTTTCTTAGCATAATTTAAATACTTGCTATAGTCATTATGCCGTATTTCTGTGTATGATTTCCTGCCCTTCATCAAAGCCAACACACACAACCATGAGAAACTAATGACGATAATAATCAATAATAATAATGATAATGTTTGGTAAAATTTCATGTCTATTCTAGTTTACTTGCATATAATGACTATTTAATTTTAAAGGTACGCCTCTTGAAATTGGTCTGAACGGAGGTACTGTTTAAAGAACAAAGCTTTCAGCAAGACGGGTTATTATGACACATCGTCCCGTTGGTGTGCGTCACACTTCAGTGATCTGTAACAGCTGTTGGAGTTGCCTTTCATCCATGATCTTTCCAGAGAGAGGAAGACCATGACGGTAGTCTCTCATCACGCCGCTGTATTTGGGATTATAGCATCGTCCTCTCTTACAGAGCTGATGGGATCCACCAATTTCAAGATGATCCTTAAAACGGAGATAAGAGCGGTCCAGACGAATGTCTATATTTCTTAAAGAATATTGATAATTATTGTAGTGTGAAACAGTGAAGGGTGACGTAAATGTGTTCACTGCAGTCCTGACGCTCTGTGCACATGTAGTTCAATGGCCACTAGAGGCAGTCTAGAGCCGTTACTGCATGCATATGTGCAGAGAGACCAGCCAAAGGAAGAAATGATTTGAGCTTCTCAGTCAGAGATCTGTTACCATTTAGTGTCCGACGTTGTCAGGTTTCCTTTAAAAAAAAAAAACAACGAAAAAAATCCATCTTCTTCGATGTATTGATTTATAGTTGCATTCCTTATTCAAAGTTCGTTCATAACAGACGTGCTTCGCTTTTTTTTTTTTTTTTTTTCCAAGAGGGTGATTGGAGTGCGTCACACTTCAGTGATCTGTAACAGCTGTTGGAGTTGCCTTTCATCCATGATCTTTCCAGAGAGAGGAAGACCATGACGGTAGTCTCTCATCACGCCGCTGTATTTGGGATTATAGCATCGTCCTCTCTTACAGAGCTGATGGGATCCACCAATTTCAAGATGATCCTTAAAACGGAGATAAGAGCGGTCCAGACGAATGTCTATATTTCTTAAAGAATATTGATAATTATTGTAGTGTGAAACAGTGAAGGGTGACGTAAATGTGTTCACTGCAGTCCTGACGCTCTGTGCACATGTAGTTCAATGGCCACTAGAGGCAGTCTAGAGCCGTTACTGCATGCATATGTGCAGAGAGACCAGCCAAAGGAAGAAATGATTTGAGCTTCTCAGTCAGAGATCTGTTACCATTTAGTGTCCGACGTTGTCAGGTTTCCTTTAAAAAAAAAAAACAACGAAAAAAATCCATCTTCTTCGATGTATTGATTTATAGTTGCATTCCTTATTCAAAGTTCGTTCATAACAGACGTGCTTCGCTTTTTTTTTTTCTTTTTTTTTTTTGTCCAAGAGCGTGATTGGATTTTTCCCTCCGAGGTCAGCAGCCGTTGGTGAAGTTTCAGAGAGACAGCGAATCTGGAAGTGTATTAATATGGTGAGAACCGGCTGTATCCTCCTCTGTAGAGAGTGGCCTGCGAGAGAGAGGTTTGGTTAGAAAGCGTTTGAGGATCTGAGAGCGTGACGGAGAGATGGAGACGAGGCTTACCATCGCGCCGACTCCATACGCTGCTGCCGCCGCCGCCGCTGCCGGAGAAGCCGCTAGCGCAGCCGCATACGGATCTGCCGTGTACATGCGACCGTAGCTGCAAAACACAGAGAAAACAATGACTACAACTAAGAATCAGGGCCGCTAGCAGCAGAGAGAAGCAGAAATGCCCATCTGTCTCAACTAATTTTCAGAGAAAGTTGCTAAAGGAAGGTTGATTTGTTGGTAAATGACATTGTGACGTCACAGCGCGATGACATCATTACTAGGGTGACCATACGTGCCATTTTCCCAGGACGTGTCCTGGCCAGGATTTCTATATTGCCTAAAATATCTAGGTTTTGGCTTTGTTTGCGTGTGCAGACCGTTCGGTGTATGACATCAAAGTACCATACAGACGGTTATGCTTTCGAAACGCTCTCGAGGTACTTTGATGTCAAACACTGATCGGTCTGAGCCGCACTGCTTTTAAGTCGAACACACTTCATATGTATGCGTAATTGCATCGCTTTGACCGTAGATCCCACCTTCTCACACGCCATGATTGGTCCATTATGTACAATGCTTGCATGTTATTGGTCAAACTACTTTTCGATCATTACCTTCAGCAAGCATGAAAACAGGAAAACAAAGCCAAAACAAATCCTGGCCAGGACGCGTCCTGGGAAAATGGCACGTATGGTCACCCTAATCATTACGTAATCACGACGCAAAAATGTGTCACTGCATCAATTCTCGGCAAAAAATATATTTTATACATGTTCATTTAGATTTGTTTGTAAAACAATATAAATGCATAATATAATATTAAAATTAGTGCTGTCAAACGATTAATCGCGATTAATCGCGATTAATCGCATTCGAAATAAAAGTTTTTGTTTACATAATATATGTGTACTGTGTACATATAAATACACACACATACAGCATATATTTTGAAAATATTTACATGCATTTATATTCATATAAATTATGTAATAATATATAAACGTAACATTTTTCTTAAACATATACATGCATGTAAATGTAATGTAATATAAATAATAAATATGCATATAAATATGCAAACAAAAACATTTATTTTAATCGCGATTAATCATTTGACAGCACTAATTAAAATGTAAATAACTATTTTTAAAAAGAGAACATCAATGCAGAGAAGATCTTGTTTGCGTCAAAACTGAAACCAAGCCGTTCACACAGAACACATATTTATCACATTTTCTAGAGGGACATCTATCACCGCTGCACTCGTGTCTCGCACAAGAGAGAAAGCCATGTAAAATTTATGTAAATTCAACTTTAAAAAAAAAATCAAACATAACAAACAAAACATAAAAAAACAGGTGTTTTTTTTTTTCCCCATCCCACTGCATCTCATGTTTTTAAATGAAAAAAGTACTCCGTGTGATTGACTTTTGGCCCTTTGTATTAAACTATGCATACACAATGCGGTTTTGTTAATAGTTGTTTAAGCAACTTAATTATAATTGAAGAGTTCAGATGCAAAAGCCTCTAAGTGCCATCTGAAATTTTCTTCAACAGTGAGCAATTTTATCAGACTCCTATATTTATGTTCAGTTATTTCACTTTAATTGCATAGAAAAGTACATTGACCATAAAGTGAAATTACAGAACCTACACATAAGAGCCTGATAAAAATGCTCACTTAGAGGCTTTTGCATCTGAACTCTTCAATTGGTTTATAAACATTATTTTAAACATGATGCACTTTTTTTCACTGATACTCGTGTTATTTTGCTTTGAATAATCGTGCATTAGTAATATTTTGCTCGATGCGCCCTCTTGTGGCCTCAGGAGAGAAGCCAAAAGCTTTTTTTCACCCCTAACTGAAATTATGCATTTTAAATTAGAATATAATTAGAATATTGATAATATTTAAGTGCAAAATTCAAATCTAGTTTTCAAGCAATTTTGACTGCCCCCAGTGTTCAAGATGTGGTTATGACTGAAAATACTCATCCATGTGTGAAAGAGGTTGAACAGGGCTGGAAACAGACGCTGCGCTGAGTGTGCATTGACCGTTTCTCGCTCACCTGTCGCTGTATGCCGCTGCCGCCGCTGTTGTGGGACTCGCTACCGCCGTCGGCTGGGTGTAGCGATACGCGGTATAGCCGCTCTACAGAGACAAAACAACAGATGCACTTAAAATAAGCACCGGTGCAATGAGGCAGGTGAAGTGGTGAGTTAGCAGGGAAAAAAAGGACATGAACATGCAGAGAGAGAGACAGGGACTCTGGGAAGGGGACAGAATCAGATCCAGTCTGACAAACCCAAAACATCCAGAGTCCTTAAAACTATGGTCTCAAATATCAGCGATGCACAACAAAAGACCTGCAGGAAGTCATTCGCTTGAAAACAGCGCCAGACAATTATTTACAGTCTCAGAAGTGTAAATAATCTACCGCTGAGGGCTGGGCGGCGCGGCGCTCGAGATTGAGCTATCTTTTTTTTTTAATGCTATACTTCTGGAGTAATGCAAAAACAAACGAGACAAGGAAAAACTCACTTGGAAATGTTTTAACGTCAACATTCATATGATTCAATGGATGTGTTTTCCTCTGTGGCTCATCCAATCAAAATATCCGAGGCACCTGCCATGTGATCATATAAACCATTTTATATTGAATTCCCTTGAAGAAAAACAGAACTAAATCACGATATACAGCTAAAATGAGCGGTTTGTGGTCGTACGGCCCAGCCCTGCTAACGCTGTTTTTGGGTATTTTCCCTAGTACGAGTCGCTGCTGGGACGTTTGATGCCGCTGCCAAATTTATCATGCGCTCGGAATCGTTTAGAAAGGAAATGTGCAGCGTTCAAGCAGAATTTCTTTCTTTCTCCCCCTTCCAGCCCTCACTCCTGTCAGATTACTGTGAGTTAGTAGGGAAACAGAGACAGCAATCTCACACGATCAATATCAAACACGTGTATTAATCAGAAGGAGAGATGCACACTATCCGTCTGTGAGCCTACCTGAGGCATTCTGCTACTAACCAGAGTGTCCTGAAACACTATTCTACAGAGAAAACAGAAAGAGCTATCGTCAACCTGGACACACACACACACACACACACACACTGAGACACACACACACACACACTCGCGCACACAGAGCCGTCCGAATCTGTTGATGAGAACCAAATCAAGTGATTCGTCCGATTCTATTGCATCACACTAACATAATGAACAGGATTCGTGTCTGCGCAGTGATTTTAAAGCATGTCTTCTTCAGAACGAAACGGCTCTGCATGGCTACAGTTTTCACACGGTAAAGCACTCGGAAGGAGAGAAGGAAAGAGAGGAAGTGAAACCAAGACACAGGAAGTGTCATACTTACATACAGTTCTGTAGCTCCATAAAACCCATCCTGGTACACCACACTGAGAGACAGAAAAACAAAATGACAGCAAAAAGAAAAGAAAGATGGAGGAGCAAGAAACATAAGATTGAAAAAAATAAAATGGACAGGGCGCCACCATGTGGTGATGGAAGGGAAGAACAAAACAAAAGAAGATGGCAGGACAGATGAAGACCACGAAAAAGAGAAAGTGAAAACATTAATTCACACACATGCAGTGCACTTGGTCATAAAACAGGAAAAAATGCCACTTTGATCCAATTGAGTGAGACAAGTTGGGCAAAAATGGCATTTTTTTGTCATTTGATTGCATGTTTACATCAGCTGGTCTCATTTTGTGAGCAGTACAGCAGAAGCAGCACACGGTCATGCAGCATGCAGAACACTAGAGGAACTCAAATCTGCTGCGTGTGTGTGTGTGTGTGTGTGTGTGTGCGCGCGTGAGTGTGTGCGTGTGTGTGAGTGCGTATGCGCATGAGTGTGTGTGTGAGTGAGTGAGTGTGTGTGTGTGTGTGTGTGAGTGTGTGTGTGTGTGTGTGTGTGCAC